AAAAAGGGGGGGTTCAAACTATTTAGCCTTGAAAGGAAGCACAGTTTGGGTGAAATGAAACAGTGGATTTGAAGTAAATAGAAACCCGTTTGTACTCAATTCTGGTTTGGACACTTACTACCTGATCTTGGACAAATCATTTTATCTCACCAAGTCTCAATGTTTCCATCTGTAAAATGGTTATATTAATATTTGCATTACCTACCTTGCTAGGTAGTTTTGAAACTTGAGTATAGAAATTTGGCATTTTTTGACTTTACACTATTATTACCTTCTAATCACACTAGAATCATTTGACTTTGGCTTAATATCCATACTACAAAATCTAAGTAGATTAGCAATGCCTGTTGTCCAAACCGATCTGCAGTTGGTTGGCTAACTGATAACTTTATTTTACAGTTTGTACACTTTGGATGGACTTGGAGCAATGATAGTGAGCTAAGCCCGAATTCAATAGCAATAGGAGAATGAACTTGTTTGCCTTTAGTAACATGTGTCTTAATGACTCCAATCTTCTTCCTGGAAAACAAAGTATTTGTAAATTAAAAAGAAAAAAAAATATCCTGCCAGTAATGCTTCTTTGGTCGAAGTCAGGAAATACCAAACTCTTCTTAGAGTTCACATTGATTGTCATCCAAAAAGCAATGCAGAAATACATGGTGGGTACAAATAGGCCATAACATATGCTATCTAGAAGTTGTGCAAGGGCAATTTTTGAAAGGTTATAGATAAGAGTCAAGTGAAATTTGAAGGGAAGTTCACGTAGTCATGAGGCAAAAGCAACAGGGAACTGGTGGAGAGAAGAATGGCTCCATTGTCATCCATTCGATATCAAGAAAACTAGAATAAGATCAACATTATGCTGGTTGGAACTTCTCTGAAGGATTCCAGGATGCAGTAAGTACAGACAAGATAAGATACATTTTGATTACCATCACTGGAAGGAGAACCATGTTGATATTACAGATCTTTTGAAGTATGAAATCACTCATTGAAATATCCAGATACTTAAATGTATGTCATTGATTTGGATATACTCTCTCATTTTCCAGATCATTTGATACCTATTCATACCTACCAACACATAATAATGCACATATACATACATATATACATATATGTATATATATATATGTGTGTGTGTGTGTGTGACTATGCATATGTACCTTTATGTATGTACATAGAAATATGCATATATTCATGTGGATTTATATGTGTGTATGTGTGTAGTAGGTGTACATGCACATATTCTATAGTATTTAAGATAGACAGACAAAAGAGAACACTTCTGTCTGTATAAAGAGGTCAAATTAAAGCAATTTTTAGAGTATGTTGATATAAAGGCAGTGGGATACATTTTCCCGTGGTAAGAATCAAATTACATTCCATTGATATAATAATGATGATTGTTGTTAAATAGCTAACATACATAGATAGCAGTTTAAGATTTATAAGGTGCTTTACATATATATATGTATGTTATGTCAATATATGCACATATATTTGAGTACAGAAATATATGTGTGTGTATATATATATACATATATATATACATATATATATATATATATATATATATATATATATATATATATATACGCATACACTAATGTTAGTCGACAATCATTTATTAATGACCTACTATATACTAGAAATTGTGCTAAATGCTGAAGTTTCAAGGAAAGGCAAAAAAAAAAGTCCCTGACTTCAAAGAAACCAAAATCTAATGGAGGAGACTACCTTGAAACAACTATATTTGAACATGATATATACAAGATAAATTAAAAATAATTAACAGAGGGAAGAGTAATACTACTGGTGTTTAAGAAAGGATTCTTATAGAAGGTAGGATTTTAGTTGAGATACACATACATACATACATATATACGTATACACACACACATGTACACATAAAATCTCTTTTGTGCTTGAGATAATAGAGATACACATATGAATTCCATTTAAGAATTGGATTCAGGAGTCAACTAGATTCAAATCTTGTCTCCAGCATTTACTTGCTGTGTGACCACAGGTAGGTCATTTAACCCTTTCTTACCCTCAATTCCTTTATCTATATTAAAAAAATACAATGGAAAATAACACCTGTAATGATCTTTTTGGAGGGTATATATAATAATAAGAGAACTTCATTCTATTTCCTAATTTTTTCTTTACAACAGAAGGGGGTATAATTTATTACCTGTTTATCTACATTTCTGTCTGTGAAGAAATAGTCATTTTAGAGGGTAGTATTCTGTTCAAGAGTCCATCTTAGAAGCAACCAAGCTTGAAGAGATGAAGTGAAGCAATATGGTTAGAATTGTAATAGAAAAGAAGTTTCTATTACTGAATTTCAAAATTGTATAACTTATAAATTGACATAATAATTGCATCATTAAAAATCTTCCTCAGTGACATCCACAGTCATTTGAAAGATATCAGCTTAACTGTGCACACTGGAGAAAAGCAAGGGGGGAAGGACTGAAAATGATGAACATCTATTGTCCATATTATAACAAAATTTAATGCACACACACTAAGTTATTCCTTTAATATATGCTGCAAATGGACAATGACCTTTGCCCAAAAGTGGATTTTTGGTACAGCTCTAGGACTAATTAGCTATGGGAAATCATAGGCAAATGATATTACCTTTCTGGGACTTACTTTTTGTCAAGTGTATTATGAAGGCATTGGAGAACTTCTGCCTCTAACATCTGATAATTCTATAAACAATTCACACAATGCAAGCTCCTGGAAGGCAAGGCATTTTATTTTTTCATTTTTATCTTTATATCTGCAGCAACTAAAACAGCATTTATTTAGTACATAGTAAGTAAGCACATGTAAAGCAGAGAAATGAAATCAAACTCCACTTAAGGATGATGCCATTTGAAATCTTTTGTTGCTGATAATGTTTGTTGAAAAATCATACCCCTGACATCTCAGAGATACAGAGCCCTGTAGCTTCATGTTTCTACACTGCAATTCAGTACTTCTATAAACTCCTTAAGAAAAGAATTGATGAGTTGATAAATCAATTGCTCAGATATTTATTGAACCCTTCCTACAAACCCAGATTATGGTGTAATCTTTGCTTTCAAAAAGTATAGGCATGTTCATCTTGTCCAAACTTTTTGAAAAATAAACAAACACGTTTTCATATTCTGAAGTCATATTCTGAGAACACTCCAACAAAGGATGAATGAATACAAGATACTGAGACTGTGGACAAAGAAATATTGATGGTGTGATGTGTAGGATGGGAGCAGTTAAAAGATATGGCATGTTCTCTGAGTGATGAAAAAAATTAAGAAGTCATATGAGAATCAGAGAATTTTAGAACTGGAAAAGGTCTTATAAATCATGTAGTTTATTACCCTTATTTTTGAATGAAGAATCTGACTTACAAGGAGATTAAGTGACTGAGTCTAAATCACAGAGCTAGTTAAAGCTAAACTAGGACTAGAGTTCAAGTTGCCTACCTTCCAATCCTGTACTCTTTCTACTATAGGGAAACTAAGTTTAAAAATGTCCTGGGCTCTGTTAAGCTCACAGTATGTTTTTATTTGGGTTTTTTTGTATGCTTGTTTTGTTTTGTTTTGTTTGCCTGATCTGCCTCTTTTAGATATATCGCAACTCAAATGTCTAGTGAGAGTTGTACATACCTAGTTTATTGCACAGAATGGATAATGTGGACAAGTCAATGATACAGCAACAGCCTTATTACTAGTCTCTGATTTAGAGGGTTTTACATTCCAGGCAGCATGTTTTATTGAAATCTAACAGTAGATACAATACAATGCAACTGCGATCTTTGGATATGTTTGTGTTGATTTTGCAAGGAAACCCCCACGAAACAGTTGAGTGCACTCAGGCATTATGCCTTTAAGTTAAACTTTATTGAAACAGAATGAGGAAAACACAATGTGTTTTGCATTCTACAGAAGCCTGTGTTCAATAAGGACTGAGTTTTGATCGATTGATACAGTGTCATATTTGACTAAAGAGGTGGGGAAGTTGCTACTGTCGCTTTGTGCTGGATGGCAGCAGAACGCACTATTGATTTTATATGTTAGATGGGTTGTCAGTGTATAGTGCATTGTTGATTTTGACTTTTATAGCCAACATGTTTCCTTTAATTGGATCGTTTGTAAAAGAGAGGAGGGGACCTGTTCTCCTCTGACAGTGACTGATTACAATCATTTCATGTTTGTCAATATTTGATAAACCCACCGTTACCAAACAACATGGCTGCCCACGGCATCTTTATGCATTTGTGAGTTAAGGCTTCTTTTCTTCAAATTTGCCCCAGGATCACTAATAACTTGGGTAAACGATGTTATACAAATCTGTTCATTCATTCATTCTAATCACTTTGATTCATTCATTTATTCATTCATTCATTCATTCATTCCACCATCCAGACAACCAGTTATTCACTTATCTTTTGATATGTAAGACAAATCCTAGCTGGTATTGACACCTGTTCTATTTATAAGTAAATCTGTTAGCTCCACCTCTTTCTCCTTCACCCACTTCTCCTCCTTTCCCACTTTCATAGCTCTCTTGCAGCTTTGATAAGATTTAGTGTATTCCAATCAAGTGCAATGCACCTGTTTTCTCTTAAATTCCAGCTGTCACATCTTTAAGATTGGGGGTGGAGGAGGAGGAACAATATTCCTATAACCCTTCATTGTCCTTGACTAGCTCTGCTAACTCTGATTAAGATTATTGTTACAGCAATCCTAGTGTCCTGAATGGGGGAGGGGGGAATGTCGTGTATGAGTTTTCTTCCAGGGAAGGTGTAGGTCTCTGGAAAGAACATTTCCATGTGTACACCTAGCACCGTTATAAATGACTTTAAGGAAATGCACATTGGTATTTTAATTGTGTCTCTGATGCTTGCTTCACAGATGGTTGATAATTTCATCTTGATATACTGAACAGTTCTTTGTCTTCCTCTTGGAAGGAGAGAAGAATTTACTAGTCAGTTGCTATCTCTGTTCTTTCCTACTTAGAAAAGGGAAAAAAATGCATACATAAGTAAGCATGTGTGTATATGTATGTGTGTGTGTGTGTATATATATGCATATACATATATACATATACATATATTCATATAAATTGATTCAGGTTATCTATGCAAATATGACATCCTTGGCTTTAAAAGAAAATGACAGCTTCAAGATTTAGAGGTACTTACTGGAAATAGTACTAGACTAGTGGTAAGGAGATTTGTGTCCTATTCTTACCTCTACCACCAAGTACGTATATGATCTTGGACAAGTTACCTCCATTCACCTCAGATTTCTCACCTATAGGATGAAAGATTGGGTTCCCTTCTATGATTCTAGGCTATGGGCATTTCAGACTCAACCCCTCACATTATCTCCTTTAAAGTGATACCAAATAATTCTGGGATATAAACCTCTTACCAGGTGTGGGAGGGGAAGAGGCTTGGGAGAACTGATGGATTTGTACCTCAGGACAGATGTAACTGAACTGTCTGTTGTCATCATTCTTTTGTTGATGAATGATCATAACAGCACCCTCTTTTCTTTGCACCAAAAAAAAGAGTTATGTTTCTTTGAGAACTTTTCCTATCCATGACAAGAATGAGAATTCTGGAGGCTAGATACTTATATTTACATACGTCTCTGATAGCATCTATTCTAATGTATCATTCTGGGTGACTTCCCCTGAGATCTCATTCCCTAGGTTGGGAAATCCCTTCCAATGGTGTTGATCACAGAGGTTGGAAAGGATATGTATATTACATTTCATAAAAGATAAAATTACCATTGTGTAAATATTATATGTAGGTATATTGTTTTGTGTTTATTCTTAATTTGAAGATAATACAAAGGAAAATATTATTTCTAAGAAATGCTGAAAATATACTTAATATACAGTTATAGATAATTTTGCATATATCATAGCTAAAATATACTTTTGAGTTACAGGAAGTAACAGAGACAACTTTCTAAAGAAAATCTAAAGAAAGCAAGTCTAATAATTGAACAATCACATGATTAAAATGTAATAATGCATAAAAGGACTTCTACATTGATAAAACATGAAGCTGGAAGAGATAGGTTGGGATAACTTCCTCCTTTTACAAATGAATAAACTGAGGCTCATAGAGGTTAAATTATTTAACCAAGGTCACAAAACTAAAAAGACTTTCTATTTACATATTGTTATATTCATAACTTAATTGTTTTTTGAAAAGACTATGATTCTAGGAGACCCTGACTAAGGGGAAAAACTCTTGGGAGAGAATAAGAAACTCTCTCCCGCCTTCTGGAGCTGGTGGTGGTAGGTTTTTTTTCTTTCTTCCTTCTGCCTTTTAAGGGTCTCAAGTCATTTTTATTCATTTCAACAGCAGGTGTGAAATAGTAGGCTGTCATCTGCCTTTTTGTAGTGCTGCAGGCCAAAATTATAAATGGGTTGACATTAATGGCAAACCAAAATTTAGTGTTGTATTGGTAGTTGGTATTGAAAATGTTTTGATATGACAGATGAAATACCTGCCGCTGAAACCTTAGTTAGATTGTAGATGGCTACATCTGGCAGGAAATTTTTTTTAAAAAATGCCTTGCTGTTGGTATCCAGTTTTTATGGCACTTCTTCATCCATTATGCTCCATTCTTCTTTCTTTTTTTTCAAACTGGTTTCTCCTTCTCCTCTTTTCTCTTTACCTTTGTAATTTGCAGAAAGATTAAATGCTGATGAAAAGTATGGAACTGCAAGTACCTCCCCTCCCTCCACCTACCCCTGCCTACCCCCCACCCATTCTCTGTTGAAAGGGAGCACAGTAAGAGACATTCAGATATTCTATGTCTTAGCATTAATGTCTATGCCATCTGCAGGGGGAATGTGGACCCTAAAGCATCCCATACTACCATACTCTCAAGTCACCCTGTCTCCTGAACCCTCCCATGTAGAGGGCTTACACTGATGGGTTTGAGGATTTAGGCCAGGCCGGGTTTTACCTGTAGCCTGTCCTTAGTCTGAGGGCCACCTAAGTCAGAACGTAGGCTCTCCAAGCCCTCCCTTACTCTGTTTTCTCCTGAGAACAGAGGGACATAACTGGGAAGCAAGGAGACGATTCAAGGGGGACTCCCCCCAGTTACTGTTTCCATGAAAAAAATTATTGTTCATACTTGGCTTTTTCCACTCTGGGTTCTGTTCCTATGAATGGGGTATAAAAACCCTAACCCTCAGATCAATAAACGAAGCTTGTTCTTAACTTGCTATCCCCTGGTCCGTGTGATTCCTTTTTCTTTCTCATACCTCACTGCCAATTAAACACAGTTGTGGACGCAGGTGTCAGCAACACTCCCATAGTCTACTTTCCTAAACTTTTGTTTCCAAGTGATGCTTATTTCTATTATTCAATAAGCCGTGGTTTATTCAGTATGGAAAATTCCTCAACCATGGCAGCTTATTAATAATATGCTTAATAATAGCATTATGTAGAGCTTTAAGGTTTGCAAAGAATTTTACATTTGTTATTTCATTTGATCCTCACAATAACTGTCTTGTAGGTGCTATTATTAACCCCATTTTATGAATGAGGAAATTCAGGCTAAAAGAAGGTAAGTTATTTACCCAGAATTACAAAACTAGTAAATGTCTGAGGCAAGATATAAACTCAGGTCTTCTTCACTCCAGATCCAGCACTCAACATACTGTGCCTCTTGTTTTCCTATTCTTACCTGTTTGCAACAAGGTAAATGACCTTCAAAGTTGCTATGACTCAAAAGTTTAGCATCCCAAGACTAATATACTAATAAACCTTGGCTAAGTTGGACAGATTGGTCTATTCACAATAGTCTGGGCCCTACTAAAAACATTTCCGGCTTAGCAATACCTGCTAGAATTTGGAATGAGCTGGCAAAGCCTGCAAGGTCACTGTCATGACTCATGAGATGGTGGAGATGGAATAAAGTGGAAGATGCAGTGAATGATCTAGTTAAACAGGGCACCTTAGTCTCCTCTGTGCCAATGACTACTTTGCAAATCTGGTGAAGCCTATGGACCTCTTCTCAATAAAATGTTTTTAAATGCTATCTATCTATCTATCTATCTATCTATCTATCTATCTATCTATCTATCTATCTATATCTATATCTATATATATATATACACACACACATATATATATGTATATACATATATGTGTGTATATATGTATATACATATATAATGTATATAAGTGTGTATGTGTGTGTGTGTGTGTATATATATATATATACATATATATACGTATATATATATACATATATATACGTATATATATATATATATATATGTATATATATATATATATATATAATTGGTTTCCTTTATTATATATGTGTATATACACACACAGATGTTATGAAGGACACCAATTATAATTCAATACAGTTACAATTTTTAAAATAAAAACAAATTAATATGCCCCAAAGTGTAAAGAACCCCTTGTTTAAAATTAAGATCCAGTACAGCAATGAAGGGAAAAAAGAAAGGGAGAAAATGTAGAAATAGAAGGCTTTGGATGGAAGAACAGGTTCAGGGTAGCTCCACTGACTCACCAGCTCTTAGTTTCCTGTCATTGAGTCTGTTGCATCCACTTAGTAATGCAATTCCCAGGATAGAATTCCCCTAGAAATATATGCTTAATTAATGCTACTAGAGGAGAAGAATCTTGTAGGGTTGTGGTTGTAGGGAAGATCGTGTAGTAGAGGTCTTATTCTATGAGTTCACAATGTTCTAGAAATGTTTTCATTTATCTTTCAATTATCTTTTGAAACTTAAAGAGACTATCGTTATAAATATTATGAATAAATAAACCATTTAACAAGTATTTATTGAAGACTTACTACTTGTTTATGTTCTGGTGGGCTCAAAACAGAAACATGTCCCAGCTATCACAACTGAATTTGGATTGGATATAGGACTTAACAATTTCCCCATGAGATGCAAACTAATGAATAATGCTAAACAGTTTATGTGGTATAAAACTCCCACAAGAGTTTTACAGGTGCCTTGAGATAAATCACCCAAGTACATAAAAAAGGTGACAAAGGGAGAATAAAAGATACTGCCAGGAGCACTGTCCTCCAGAGAGAAAATTATACAACAAATGTGTTTCATGGAAGAGGATAGTGAAAAGATCACTGCCTCCAATATCTATCCCTTTTATTTCTTCACTCAATGCCTTCTTTTGTTATCAGATTCAGCTGAGGTGGTTTGAGGGAAAGAAAACTCAGAAAAGGAAACTCAGTATACTGTAATCTATTTCACTTCTGTTTCATAAGATAAATAGAAACATAAGAACCATTGACTTTTTAGCATGAGTCCTGAAATTGAGGGTTTAACTATAGTGGATGGGGATGTAATAAGACACTATTGCTTATTCCCCTACATTTAGCAATAAATGCTCTCTAAATGAGTGATAATATGATTACTAACACGATTATATGACTAGGCACCACACTACTAAAAAGTGATGGTAGAGGCCAACACATACATAATAAGGTTGGTTGAACAACATCGAACATAGGACCTTGACTTGATATAACATAGAAGATTCTAAAATGTGGCTGCTTCTAGTGTTTTTCTTATGCCTTTGTTAATTCTATAAGATGCATTTTCTCTCCATGAAGGACAGACAATAGTGAATTTTTCAGCAGCAATATTCTAATTCATAGCGTGATTTGTAAGTGGATAGTTTTGACATGCATACATACAGAGAGAGAGGGAGAGACATATGTCACATAAACATATATTTAAGGCTTATCTTCTCCACATTTATAAACAAATTCTTAAATCTGATGTGACTGACATTTTAGGTACACTGATTAACCAGTGTACAAATGACTGAGCTCATGGACAGTATTTCTGAACTCATGATTAGTCTTTTGTCAGTTGGGCTTTGGAGCATATTTGACATCCTCAGACTTGGACATAGGTGGTTTTTATCTGTATGGGAGGTCTATACTTGACAATTTCTCCCAATTGCCTTAAGGATGATACCTCGGGAAGTAAATATTATGTTAGAGTAGGTGCTCAGCCCCATGCAGGTGCTAATTATTATCCCGAGAATGACCTTGAAGAATAGACCATTTCTGTAGAATTGAGGAGAAGGAGAGAGCCTGCTCAGTAAGGCTTCATAAAAGGAACTGATATTCTCCAATCTTAATAATCAATTAAAATAATTACAATACACTACACATAATATTACTCCAGCTAAAACTTACATTGCTTCTCTGGTTATATAAAGAATTCTTTGCCTAGAAATCTATTTGGTGATAGATATGGGATGATGGATTGCTAAGAGCGGAGAGATTATAGGCAGGGCAACTTATTAGGAGGCTGTTATGTTAGTCCAGGTGAGAGGTGATAATAGCCATGATAACTGAGAGAAAATGAAGGACACAGAAAATTTCATGGACACTAAAAGAACAAGATGTGGAAACTAGAAGTTTTGGAGTATAAATCTAGTGACCTGAAAGATGATGATCACTTTGATAAATATAAGAATTTAGAAAGAATGGTATGAGTGGGCCATAATGGCAATAAAGAATTTTTGTTTGCTGAATGTGACACATTTAAAGGCTTTCCATGTGGAGATGTCCAGCTAGCACATGGGAATACAGGCCTGGAGTGTGTGACTGTTACCCCAGAGAATCTTTCCAACCTTTTTTCTTTACCTGCTTGTTCAAAGCCTTGGGGAAAACTCAATATAGGCCAGACATCCTCAGAGAAGACAGTTTGATACTTAAAATAGAGGGTAAGTTTGAATTTATGGCCTTAAGGAGAGCAGATACTTTTAACAAGGGACTTGGGCACTTTCTCTCTTCCTTAGGCTGCTCATAAGTGCCTGGTGGAGATAGGTCTCACAGAGCTCTCTGTAAATGGTCTCTTGAGGGCACAAAGCTGGTTCGGGCCATCTTTGGATTTAGAAAGAGCCTTGGGAAGAATATGAAGTTGAAAGGAACCTAGGGATGTGACCAAAATAACATGGTAAAATAATTTTAACTGAGTAGCTAAGGGTACTTTGGTTTATTTTTAAAGGTAAAATAATGCATCTCAAGTTTCTTTTTCATAAATTAATGAGATCCCTAGATGGAAGGAAACCTTCAGATATTTTATCTGTCCATCTACTTCCTGGTCAAAGAACACTAAACTGATACCTGGCAAATCTTTATCTTTGGAGAAACCAAGTAATTAGTGATTAGCATTTTTACTTGCTGTTTTAGTTGAGTATATTTTTATGGGGGGAAAGCATTATTGACTGGAATCATATACTAAACTCTCTGACTCACTTATTTATGCTTATGGGAGGCACTTCATTGTTTGAACTGTAAACTGCTATAAATGTGGCCTTACTATTTCATTTTTCCTCTTTTTATTATTAACTTTTATTAAGAATATTAATATTTCACTATTTGAAGAACACAAGAGTTTTGTTTTTTCTTCCTTTGTCAGTGAAGCGGAAAGAAGGAATCAGATCTTCATTTGAAAATAAAATATATTTTGAATTCATTTCATTTGAACATGAGAGGATATTATAGGAAATTGAGATCTTCTGTTAATTATATTTGTTTTTTCAGCATATATTAAAGTTGGGGCAGCTAGCTAGCACAATGGATAGAGCACAGGCCTTGGAGTCAGGAGGACCTGAGTTCAAATCCAGCCTCAGACACTTGACACTTAATGGCTGTGTGACTCTGGGCAAGTCACTTAACCTCATTGCCTAGCCAAAAATAATAATAATAATAATAATAATATATTAACTTTAACACAATAGTACCAAAGCTAGGATGCTTGTTTGTGTGCCTTTCTCAACATCTATCTGCTTTCTTCTCTGTATTTTTACCTTTTAATTGATGCTTTTTTTCTTTTTCTTTGTTCAATTTGTCATCACTACCCACCACTTTGTTCCCCAAAATAGAAATATTCTGTAGAGTCAAGCAAAACAAGACAACATGTTGACTATGTCTGAACACATACATACATGTGTGTGTGTATGTGTGTGTATGTGTTTATGTGTATCTTTTGGGACCTGCAGAGATGGTAGAGTAGGAGGGAAGTACTGGAAACCAGCTGTCCTTCACAAACTCTCTATTTGTTGCCATGAAGTGGTGGCAAACTTCTTGGTATCCACCTTTTAGTTAGATTTCTAGGGGGGAAATCTTAAATACAAATACCAGTATATACAAATGGAAAGTTATCAAAGACAGGAAGGTGCAATTTCTGTATATTTTTAACAATCATATATATGTATATAGTATTATGTGTAATTTTTATACTTACTGTATGTGTAAGATCATTAAAATAATACATAATATGTATAATCATAAGTGTATTTTTGTGTTGTTAGTTTGCCTTATTCTTTCAGTTGTGTATGCTGTGCTATGTTACTGGCTATATAAACTAATAAATAAGCTAATTCACACCAAGTGATTAATAGAAATTAATATGTTACTCTTTCTCAGAGAATGGTCATTGTAACCTCAGCATTCAAGTAATAATGCCTTAAGCCTAAGGCACAGAATCAAAGGATAATAGAAATTTAAAGTGTGACAGAACCTTAAAGATGATCTATTCCAACCCACTCATTTTACAGATGAGGAATGTTAAACCCAGATGAATAAAAGGATTTACTAATACCACACTTACAGTGGCAGAAATAGGACTGGATGAAATCTTTCAGTCTTGTGCTTTTCCCACCATATCATGCTATTCCTTTAGCTGTAACATAAGAAATTTTGAACTATAGAAAACTGTTGTTGATAATCGAAAATATGGGATGTCTTTTTATGTTACATTTTAAATCAAATCATATTCTGTTTTTAAATAAAGATCTAACTTTTCTCCCTGCACCTTCCCATTCCTTACTAAGAAAGCAAGAAAAAAATATTCTTTGCTATAAACATGTATCAGCAAGGAAAACAAATTTTTAATTGTTCATATCCAAAAAACAATCTTAAGCTACACTCTTGAGTCCATTATTTCTCTATCAGAAATTGGGCAACATGGTTTATCATGAGTCCTGTGGAATTATGGTTCATCACTGTATTGGTCAGAGCTCCAAAGTCTTTCAAATTTGATTATCTTGACACTATTACTGTTATTTTATAAGTTGTTCTTTTGATTCTGCTAATGTTACTCTGCATCAGCTCATCCAAATCTTGCCAGGCTTTTACCATTTGGGGGTTTACTCTTATTCTTATAAATCTAAATATTATTCATATATATCATGGAAATGATGCCTTTATCTGAGAAACTAGCTACAAATTATTTTTATAAGGTGACTTATTATGGGACATCTCATATCATGGTACCATGTACCAGCTAAGTAGTAAAACCCACAACATGGATGGGTGGTGTGGCAGATATTGTTGCAATTATTGTCCAGAGTCCTCAAAAATACAGTTTCAATAAAGGCTAACTTTTCTCCAAGGAACCACTCTATCCCATACTACACAGTGAGATCTTTTGAGTTAGAGGGGGGAAAAAAAGCTTCTTGTGGTTATTTCTTAGTCTTCTTGTGATCTTTCCCAGTTTCATTGGTTCATACTAAGATGTTAAGAAATTAAAGGAAATTGAGGTAATCAAGAAGTCTCCTTGTTGCTGATGAGCTTTGGGGATGACACACAATATGCCTTTCCAGGGAAGAGACATAGAGATTGAACAAAGACCTGCATGTCCTATGGAATGAATGGATTCAAGCTAATTCATACTGAAATGGGGGAAGGGGTGCATTAAATGATCTCTCAAACTCCCTTTTAATCTTTCATTAGCTTCTTTCATTAGCTTCACTAGCTTCTTTCTGTAAAAGATTTCCAGAGACCTAATCCATGTGGAAGACATAGCTCCCCAGAAAATCAACTTCTGGGACCTCACAAGGGATAATAAAGGTATCTTTCTTACTATATGATTACACTAATTCATCTCAAAATCTTGGTTTGAGGTAGTAAACCCCTAACCTTCTTAATCCCAAAGCTAACTACTTTTCCTTATCCAACTAATGCCAACATTCCTCAGTACCCTGGCACCAATACCCACCCTCTCTTCCTCCTTCTTCTCTATTACTTACTGCAAACCACAAGTATATATTTTCTACGGTTCATATACAAGGGTCCTTCTTAAGGAATTGGTTATAATCAGCATCAATATCTGTTTCTCCATCCTTTTCCTATTTTTCTTAATGGTAACTTGTTTCGTTAAGTCAAGTTGGTGATTTTAAATTACATGCCATATCTTTTTATTGTTTTAATCTTTTTTCTAGTTCTTTTTATTAAATTTTTAATCATCATCCTAACCAATCAGTGATCTGACTTACACAAACAGCTTATTTAGGAATGATTTTCACATCAAGAAAGAATTCCGAGTTAATAATTAGGAAAAAAAATTATGTCCTTGTCTGCAAACATCACAAAAATGAAATTAATTATATTATATTTACTGCTTACATTTTTAATACCTACTTATTCTCCCTTCAAAGAAATTATTTTGTATCATTTGACATGAGGCTTTGGTTTAGTCTACAAGCTTTGACCTCATTCTATACCATCAAAACACACTTTTGAATTTATTTTTCACCATCTTTCCTGATGCCTTTCTTTGCTTTAACGTCATTCAGTTATCACATAGGCATTTGATTTGGTAGAGCCAAATATTGCCTTAATGGTTCTCCTCCAACATGATGTCCTTTCATTCTTATGCTGAAATCACACAAAACAACTTGAATCCTGTAACAACAGCAATGAAAATGTTCACTGACCCATTAATATCAAATGAGGCATAAAAACAAGGAGACATATGTTCAACAAAGATGTTTGTCACTATCATGGAGGAGGTCCAGCTCAGAGTTCAAGTCAAAGAGGAATTCTCCATGGATGGCGAGATCCTCCAGATGCCCCTTTTTGTAGATGGCATGAAGCCAATTACATCAAGGACCTGAATATTTTTGGCCTCCTAAAGGAGGTATGTAATGAAACAGATAGTTTCGCCTAACTCTTCTCCCAGGAAAATTCAAGTGGATGAGGACTATTTATTATTCAATAACATACAGTTGAAAGGAAAACCTATAATACACACACACACATATACACACATTACATCATATATACACAGAGATTCAATAAGCTATGCCTATAACTGAACAAGAGACAGAAAATGGGCTCAATTACCCAATTAACTTTAGGAAATTGAGTAATTCTTTCAGTGACCCCAAGTTTCTCCTTGAAACAAAGGCATATCTATTTAGCACCAATATTCTTCTGGTGATGTAATATGTCAGAAAGTCTCAAAACCATACTTCCATTGAAGAAAAGAATTTGAGCATTAATCAAATGGCAATAGGATTTATTCAGCAGAGGTTCTATAAAGAAGATCATCAGATTGGGGGGAGGGAGAGGTAGTCTTTTTACATGATAGTAATCATGTAAAATGTTCTTGATCCCTGAACCATCATATTTACTGGTGTCTGAGATCTGCCACATTCTGAAGCTGATTACCTTTCCATCTTCAGCTGATGACAATATTCCTAAGTATCTTGGCTCCTATACCCATCCTCTTTTCTCCCTTTTTCTCTATTACACACTGCATACCATATGTTTTCTCTGGTGCATATACAAGAATACCTCTTAATAGTTAAAATCAGCATCAATATCTACTTCTCCATCTTTTTCCCATTTTTTGTTATTGATGATTTTTTTTTATTAAGTCAGGTTGGAGGTTTCAAATTTTATACCATATCGTTTTGTTGTTTTTATATTTAATTGTTTCAATCTCTTTAATGGAGCCTGAATGCTCCATTAGTATTTGCATTATGTCAAAAGAAAATAAGAAAGGAGCCAAATCCATAGAGTGGATACCCTGTGGCAAATTTATGTGAGTATAAGTTTCCCTGGACAGTCAAACATAGATGAATTGTGATCTATAGGAATAAAGAGAATATTTAAAATATTGTAAAATCATAGATTCATTAGCATTCTGGAATAAAGGAGTATTCCTGATGCAAAAGAGTTAGCAAAAACAGAAATAAAGAATTGTGGAATATACATAAAAACCTTATCTGCTGTAGACAGAGTGGCACTTGAGCTAATTTATATATCTTCCTTTCTAAGGTTTCTAGTAGATGAACTCAGATTAAATGCAATGAGTAATTTTTGTCACAGAAGATAGATTGTGAAACACACACCTCTGCACCTGATAGAGAGGAGGCTGCCTATGGCTGTAGAAGGTTGCATACACTGTCAAATGTCATCTACATCTTTTTTTGGGGGGGGCAGAGCTTATCTTTCTTGGCTAGAAAAGCAGTGTTTTTAAAAAAAGTCAGAAAAAAATAAATCCTACCTTAGACACTTAGTTGCTGTGTAACTTGGGCATGTCACTGAACCTATCTTCCTCTTCCTCATGTATAAAGTGGTAATAATTATGAAACCTTCACAGGGCTGTTGTGAGCATCATTAGAATGTCTTTGAAACACTTTGAAAATTGTAAAGCATTACATAAATGCTACTTAACAGGTATTCCCTAAGCCAATTCTATGTATGTATATGTGTAGACGGAGGTCTATTTATAAATGATTTTAGTGTAAAAAATATATTTTATTTTAATCAGAATCTTCCCTTCCCCTCCCTCACCAATAGCATTATTCTCTAAGGTCCTAGAACATTTTGTTTCTTCTCAGCCCCAAAGTGAAAGTGATGACTTTCTCACCCATTTCACCATTTGTCCCTGATACCAATCCCTCTCTTGTATTGATCTGGAATTACTTCACCTGGTTGCTATGACAAGAATCATTTGATGATTCTATAACCATAGCTTTAATCTTAGCCAATCACAAAGTCTTCTATTTGGTTGAATAATGAAACTTTGTGCTGTAACCACATCTTCCAACTTATTCTGTGTTCCTCATCAAAGAGAAAATGGAGAAATG